TAGAGTCTTTCAGACCCCAACCTGGAAGGCGCGGGACACCTACTCTATCTAATGGCTCTGTGCATATCTTCATGCCTCGCCACCATGTCATCTGTTGACTTCCACGTGGTTTCCTCCAGCCCGGATTAGCTACATCGAATAAAGCGCGGTGCGGCAGACGATGACTGGGCATGCGCAATACGTGCCCTAGCCAGCGAAGCCTAGTAGTCTGAATTCGGTGTGCTAGCAGGTTTATCCCTGATAGACTCCCAAGCACACGATAGCTTGCCTCCACGTTACTAACCCGTTCGCTCCATCCAACGTGGGTTAAACTGCGTAAGCACCGATAATCGTAAACTTCTAGTCGACGGATATCTTCTACTCGCAAATTCAGGGTCTAACAACCATAAAGCAGAACTGAACGAACGGTGGCACAATATACACGACCTTTCAATTTCAGTGAAACGTCGCGTCTACGCCAAAGGTGTTTCAATCCTGCGTATGCTGCTCGAGCCTTGGAAATGCGAGCGGTTATCTTTTTTGCTGCGTTTCTGTCATTGGTCACGCAACTACCTTAGTAGGAAAAATAATCCACCATAACTAAATCCTGACCATTTAGTTTCAGAGCGTGAGTAGACGAAACCCAATACTGGGGCATCACTTTGTACTTTGAAGATGCAAAACACATATCGAATGTGGCAACTGCACTTGTTAATCTATCAAGTACGCTTTGCGCGTCCTCCATACCTTCGAACAGACGGACGATGTCATCGGCGTACTCTAAATCGCACAGCTCTCCAGTTGCCCATTCAATACCTACGTTTTGGAGTCCCCTTAGTGCGCTCTCCAATATTTCGTCTACGACAAAATTGAACAGGAACGGCGAAAGAGGGTACCCTTGACGAACGCCGCTACTTAGTTCGTTGTAGACCCTTACACGACCAGAGGAATGTGAGTACAGTGACCTTAGTAGGTTAACGTACTTCTGGGGCATTCCATTTGGACGCCACGAGTACTAGTAGCTTTCTCCCAGCTACATAAGCAAGAACACAGATAGTGCACAGCGAACGCACAGGAAGCAAGTCAATTTACAAGTTTTACTCTGGTGCTTATATTTGACTCAAAATAGCATCGATTAATGGAAGAAAAATATTGTGCCAATCAAGTACACAGTTAGCAAAGTTCAATCTGTCATAGGTCACGGATCGGATGGACAGCGTGAATATTTCCGTATGACGCAATATTATTGATTAATCTCCGCGAGATTAGTATTGATTCGAGATGCCCCCTAATTGAAAATACTCGAAAAATAGGCAGTTTTAGGTAAAAATAGTCTTTTTACCTAACAGTATGACGCAGTTCAAGGATCTAACGCAACGTAAAAATCTGGTCAATACATCCACGGTCAGGCTGTTCACGGATGTTGTTCTCTTCTAAAGGCGTCAGACGTCGAAGTATAACCGGAACTAGCACTTTGGTAACGATTGGGATCAAACTTATCCCGCGGTGGTTTTCGCAATCGTTGTGGGATCCTTTCTTGAAAATGGGAACGATCAGTGATTCGCCCCAAGATGGACGAATGTGTTCTTGCATCCAAATATTGCGCAGTAGGGTAGTAATACAGCTTACGAGGTTATCACCCCCCATCTTGAAAAGAGTGGGAGGGAGTTCATCCGGTCCTGCTGCCTTTCCTCGCTTCAGAGCTTGAATGCAAGACCGAACTTCTTCCTTTGGAAGATCGTATGACACTGCCCACGGAGCTTCGGTTGTAGATGAAGCAGCCTGGTTAGCCTTAAGCAGATGAATTGTTCGTTGAAGTATTCTGCCCAGCGATCGAGTCGTTGATCCCTATTGTGAATAGCTCGT